GAGTTGAAGTCCACTCATCTTAAAGGGGCCAGGTTTGGACAACACTGTCTTAGAGTTTCATGTGAGTACTATTCACATATGAATTAAATCTAAGTGAACAAATGACACCTAGGTTTGTTTATGAAATAAATGAAGCAAGCATCTAATGTGCCGGTTTGAAAGCACAGTAACGAGTTGCACCATATTCAACTGCAATAACTTTAACTGAAGTTTTCCTGTAACTGATGAACAGTATCTCAGAACACTATGTAGATATTTTGGCCCTTGTTTCAACAGCAAACTGCTTCAGACCAGTAACATTTGAAGATTTTCTAACTTGAACTGCTCATTTTAGATCCTGTTACATTTCTATGGCATTTCGGTCTGGATGTTGATTTGACTATTGTAAAACATTTGATTTGTTCTTGATTTACTCTGTTTAGTTTTGATTGTACATTTGGGATTGTTGTCTTGATACATCACCCACTTGTACTTCAGCTGATAGATAGCCTGATATTCTCCTATGGAATTCTTTGATACAAAGCAGAATTTATGCTTGCTTCAGCACTAGCAAGTTATTCTGGTCCTGAGGGAGCAAGGTTTCCCCAAACCATGATACTACCATCTCCACACCTGACAGTTGGTATAAGGTTCTTATTGTGCAATTTAGTGCTTGGGTTCCAATACACATAATACCTGTGGAGCCCAAAATTTTCACTTTTGACTCATCCGTATTTAAAATATTCCTCCAGAAGTATGGAAGATAATCCAGTAGCCTTTTGGGAAAGTTAAGATGAACATCAGTGTTCTTCTAGTGACCAGTGGCTTCTGCGTTCTTACTCTCCATGAATCAAAATCTTAGATGTTCTTTGTGATTTCCTGGATGGTTTTATGCTGTGCTTTTGGAGTGATTTTGACAGGACAACAATTCCTAGGAAGATTTACTATTGTTCCAGATCATCTCCATTGCTCTTCTCTAACTGGAGTGTTGAAGGCCCAGAGTTTCAGAAATGATTTTTCAGACTGATAGCCATCAATGACTTGGTTGCAAAGACTTTCAAATATTGTTTGAGCAGGACACGATGTGACTCTAAAAATCTGCATGGTGGGAACTTCACTGTAATGAAGGTAGTCAAAGTCTGCGAGATTTATATAGGATAGAGCTAGTCCAAATCAGCCTTGATCATTTAATGAATAGTAAAGCACCTGGCCCTAGTTATCCCTTAATTATAATTGAATGGACTTGAAGTAGGCAATTACTTGGCACATCCCAGTAAGAAAAAGTTAGATAACTGTAACATAAATGAAACAGGCACCAAGCTTTGGTATTATTTGTTCATTCAAAGTCCCTTTATAACCACCATGTGAAGCTCTGATAACATTTATCCTTTTGAATAAACGTACCTAGGTTTATGTTATTAATAATATTTGTTCAAATTTTTTTTTTCTTGATGTAGTTGAAAATTTCCATGTTGCATTGAGGAGTCTTTAGCTGGAAGTTCAGAACTCTGAGCTGTGTGAATTGTTTTGACTCTGAAATAGCACAGAATTATACTAATTTACATACAAAAAAAGAGGCATAGAAACATGACAGTCTCCAGTCATTTTAGCTGGTATCTATTTAGTTAGAATGATTTTTGGATTTAGACCTCTGCAAGGGGAATTAATAGTTTTCACAAAGATAGTAAATACAGTGGTACCTCGGTTCACGAACGCTTCTGTTCATGAACAATTCGGTTCACGAACAGCTCCATTCACAAAATTTTG